AGTACTATAGCCTCTGTCCTTGGCGGGAGCACTTCTGATGTGGTTTCTGGATGGTTCTTTAGAAGGGCCCGGGCTATTCAGCCTCAGTTTCCCATCAGGGGTAATCAGCTCATTAACATGCCTTTGCTGGCTCTTCCCTCCTCCCTGACTCATTCTCCCCACTTCTGCACTCCTGGTTCCTGGGATCACCTCCAGATGGACTCCCTGCTCCCACATGCTTCCCCCAGGTTTTGCTTTTGGGGGAACTGAGCTAAGAAGTGCCTGTCACTGGTGTTGAGAGTCAGTGAGACAGTCTCTGCGGGGACAGCCCTGCCAGTGCGAACCAGGATGGCTAGTTTACAGGCATCTGTTCTGACCGCATCCTGTCACACAGGCCACCTCCCACCTACAGGGTCTGTCAGCACCATAATATAAATGACTGTCCCTGACTTGTCCTTGCGGGCTGGCTCTGAGGCTCTAGTTCAAGATAAGTAGTGTAGGGAACATAAATATCTTAAGATGAAATCCTACTGGGCCGTGTGCTAAAAGGTCTTTGTACCTAACATGGGAAGAAAGGGTTATCTGAGGTTATGTTTTTTCTCTCTTCAGTTCACGCTAAGCTCAGGGTTGTTTATTTGAATTCTGGCAATAACCCTGGGAATTTATTTAGGTGCCAAGGGAAACATGAGGGTAGAGGGCTCCCAAAAGATTGTGTTCCAAGGCACACAAGACGGTAGGCATGAACCCAGAGGAAGATACCGGGGCCCTGCTGTAGACACAACAAATGCCTGGTGTCTTTTGAGGGAGATCATGCATTCTTTGTCAGTAAATGTGGACATAATTCAACATATGTACTTTAGGCAGATGAGGGAGAAGGTGAAGATATAGTCTTCAAGAAGACCTTGATTTTCTGTGGTACAACACAGCCCTCTCCTTGAGATGCAGCCCTTCTCATGAAACCTTGCCCTCTCCCCCAGGTGCTGAGCTGAGATTGGTGTCTAGCCCTCCTGGAACCCCTGACAGCCCTTTCCCAGTGTCAGGGAAACAGACACTGAGATGAAGAGCCACATGCAGGAAGTCTGCAAGGAAGTGCTTTTGAGACAATATCTTTGAGGGAGTAAGGAAGGGAGCTTTGGGCAGATGGGGACATGGGGCTGTGATACTGTCTCTATAGGTCTCAATTTATCCCCTGGGAGCTCTGGAGCTGGGGTAGCCCTTCCAGGTTGTTCTGAACTGAATTCACCATTTTTTGGATGCAGGCTACCTCCAGGAAGGGCGTGTAGGCTTGGACAAGGCAGCCACCAGGGCCCAAACCTCCTGGGAGCTAGATGTGTGTCCTGGTCCTGAAGTGGGGATCTGGGTAAGGTGCCAGAGCATCCATTACAGTCACCCTGTACTGCTGCCCCCTTGTTTCAAAGGCCCACCCCATCTTGGGGAAACTTTAGCCTTCCTTGGAGATAGGAAGAGCTGTGCATCTTGCAGAAGCTGAGGGCTGGCTTCCCACAGTAAATAAAATACAAATTTACATTACAATAAATTATCCTGGTCTTCAAGTGGAGCATTTTAAAGCCTTCAAAACACTCTCATAGACATAGTCTTATTTGATCTTCGAATAAATGTTACCGTTAACAGTTAACATTACAGTGAAATTGTTCCCATTTTACAGATGAAAAAACTGAGGTTCAGAGAAGGTGAATGCCCATATGGCTCGGAGAGGAATCAAGCCTAGAGCCCAGGCCTTCCAACCTTCCTTCTAGCAGCATTTCCATCCTGAAAGAAAACAAATACCCTGAGTTGTCCCTACACTGGGTGGGGAGGCCCCCCACGATCCTGGCCTCTCTTCAGGGTTGCCAGAAAGAATGGCAACTTAAAAAACATTTTCTTTATGAAGAGGAGAGCTTTCTAAAGGCCCCATTTAAATCCAAATGCCCCAGGGAGGAAGGACTGGTACAAGATCTCTTTCCTCTGGGACAGCAGGGAGTTCTGTGGAGGGGGGACACCAGGGAAGGACAAGCATGAAGGTCCAGGAAAACTGGGCAGAAACAACCTGCATCTCCACTTGCTTCTTAAAGAGGCAGAGTGTCTATTTGTTGGGTGTCCTGTCTTCTGCATGCTCTCTGCACCCTGAATCCAGAGAGCATTACCATTAGAGAGGCTGTGGTTAGTACCTGTGTAGAGGGAGATGATTCAGGAGGGGGAACCCTGAAGCAGACTAGTGTGGGTGGGGGACATGGGTCAAGACCCCTGGCCTCTCTGTGCTTCTCTTTCCTTATCTCAGAGGCATACAGTGCTGGGAGAATCAGGCATTGGGATAACTGGGTGAATGGGAAGTTCTTTGAAGGGGTTAAGAGGGCAGGATGGGGACTCAACAGACATCCTTTGCTGGGTGTTGCAGGCTGGACCCTTTAAAGCAAAAACATGGACCTGAAAACCCTTAAGTATGTTGATAGATGGATATTGAAATGATGATGAAATGAGGCCTGGCAATTATGTCTGCCTGAGTGTCCCCCGAAACAGCTGTATTATACTGGCTGCGCCAAAAGCCATTGTTGCAGTGTGTCCGGTCCCGCTCCCGCAGCCACCTCCCCACCACCACACACGCCCACAGCGCTGCCACGGGAGTCCCCAGCCTCACGCAGCTGCGTGGGATGCCCTGTCCACTGTGTCGGCTCAGAGATCGCCACTCAGGGCTGAGAGGAGAAGGAAGCTGATGGAGGCGACACTCCTGCTGGTGGGAATGCTAAGGAGGGATGCGGGGAGCCCCAGAGGAAGAGGCAGCCATGGCGGGAGGAGGATGGATAAAAGGAAAGGAGGCGGCTGCGGGCAAATGAGGAGGACTGAACGGCAAAAACGGAGAAGTTCAGCATGAGAAAGAGAAGGCTGCTCTGACCCATTCACCTGCTCGCCTTCCCCTTCGGCCTCAGAACCTAACCCGGGTCACCTTGGGGGAGAGGCCCGCTGCGGCAGCGCCACCCGCAGGTGACACTCGCCCTTCACCACCAACCAGAACCACAGCTTGAATTTGCAGCAGAGAAGAAAAGAGAACCAAAGATTCCAGGGCCCTGATTTTTCCTTAAAAGTACTTTGAAAATGAATTTTGGGGGTAATTCAAATGTACACGTTGTATTTTGTAACATATGTAACACTTTATATTTATTAGCATATCAACATGTTTTAACATGTATACTGAACGTATTGTTAAGGGTACGCCATGCTGTGATCTCAGGGGACCCAACCAGCCATCAGAGCATTCTCTGTCCTGCTTTTGATTTTACTTGTCGTGTGACCATAACCATTATAATCTCCAAGGAGAATTAAAAAAAAAAAAAGCCTTGTAAAAAGAACAGCAAAACAACAACAAAAAGTCTTATTCAGAGCATTCCACTAAGCTTTTTGTGTGTACGTTGTGGAGACCCATATGTACTCCAGAATGAGCGTAAAGATTATTTTAAGCTGAAGACATTTGAGATTCAACAGATGCAGAAAAAAGCTTCCTCAAGCCTCCCTTATCTGACTAAAAGCAGCAATTTCTGGGAAATGAAGCTACCATAAATCTCCTAGGACAGGGGAGTTTTCTGGCCCAGAAAAAGACAACAATACCACTCATACCTGTATAGACAAACTTTATCACAAACTTTCTTATCTCCCAACTGTTTAAAAAATCTGTTTGTCTTTCTTAAAGAGACCTATTTGTTTTTCCCATGGAAGCTTTTCTCTTCATTCTATTTCTCCAGAAAGTTAGGTATATAAGCCTTCAACTTTATCATTTCATAAGCCAGCTATTTTTTTCTTTTTGGCTCTGTTATGCATATGAGATAAACCTTTTTTTTTAAACTGTAAACTGGTTTTTATTAATTTAATTCAAAGTCACCAGATACTGAACATAAGAGGGTAGAAGAAGCTTTTTCTCCCCTACAATGTCCTTAGCTGTACTATAAGTAGTTGGTTTGTACAAGATGGTTAAAAGGACAAAGATCAAAGATCTTTTCACTCCATTTTTGTCAGTGAAGTTGCAGTTTATTCATTTGTTTGGCCTGACTGATATATGAGTGAAATAATGTTGTCTGACAATTAGCTGGAATTTTATTTTGCCGTATTATTGTTCTAACAACAACTGAAAGCTATAATAATAGATACTAATTATAGTAATAATTACTATGCACCAGGCATCATTCTAGGCCTTTTACAGGTATTGATTCATTTATCCTAACAATTTCATTATGTATATAGATACAAAAATGGAGGCACAGAGAGATCAAGTAACTTAACCAAGGCCACCCAGCCAGGAGGCATCTCTATGTCCAGTTGAGAAACCATGACCTTATCCAGAAGCCTCTCAGAACCAGCCCCTCAGATATCAGAGACCCCTGGATTCTAAAAACCACAGAAGCCTCTTCTCTTTTCATTGTGACCTTCCCAAATTGCAGATGTACAGTCTTTTCTGGAGTTCTGTTTTTGAATATATTTTCTTATTCTGAGTTTACAGAGAAAGCTGTTTTCTCTTCCCCTGTCAATTCCAAGTTAATCCTTTGCCCTGTAGAATTTCTTTACTCTCAATTATCTCATTCTATTGTTTTGCTCTCCTCCTTTTCTTTGTTAGGCCTGTATCCCTTATTCTTAGAGAGTCTTTCTACTTGCCCTGAGAGTGGTTTACCTGTGAAGGCAAGAATGCATGAAGTGGTCGGGAACGTAACTGTCACTTGGTTACTGGGGTTGAACTATTTCGTGCAGGTTGTGGACTGCATAAAGGTGAGGGCATTGCTATTCTTTTCTTTAGCATCTCCATCAGAGCACAAGAAACACTTATTGAATTGTACTGCAATGACTAAGTAGGGAATGAAGTCACCAAAACAGGGCTGGCTGTGCACGTGTCCTGAGGAAGGCTGGGTAAGGCACAGGTTTTATAGCCTTACCTTCATTTATATTTGATAAACGATCGCTGAGCTCACTTAGCCTTTGCACTGGGCATTCAGCTACAACCTGGAATGATTTAACACTGATAAAGTATGAACTTTACTCACTCGTGTATGAATGTATACAGTTAGTCAACTTGCATTACATTCAGAGAGTGCTCAGTGCCTTCTATGTGTCTGGAATTGCCTGAGATCTGTAGAAACAAAGATAAAGAAGGTTAGGGGCTTTCGCAGAGGAATTTACAGCCAAAAAAGGAAGACAGACCTTACAAGGGTAGGAAGCTGATGCAATAATTCAGATGAGAGTTCAAGATTCAAGAGGTTGAATCTTCTGTAAGACTCATGGAAGATACAAAGTCAAACAAACCTTTGTTTCCCTCTTAACAGTGTTGATAAGCTGTACCTTACAGTCTTGGCTAAATGACTTTCCTGTTAACAAGTGATCATTGTTTCTTAAATGAAATGATAGCCCAGTTGCCCTTTCCCCTTTATATGAAATAAATGGGAAACAAAGGGAGAGAAAGACAGAGAAAACCTAATATAATAGCATACTGACCTGCAAGTTAATAGAGATTCTTTCTCCAAACTCCTAGAATTTTCCCAGAATACAAAAACTTTGTTATATTCATGGTAATTTTATATTCACATCAATACAGTCACTGGCCTAGAGTCTCTGGTGGATTTTCCTGCTGACGCAGCATTAGTGAGGGAGGAACTTCATGCTGCAAAAATCCAAAGCCCAAATCTAGCTTTCCCTGCAGAGAGAAGAGGAGAGATTCTAGGAATGTCATATCACTGATGTTTCCATTACTTCAGGCTAGAAACTTCATCACCAGAGATGATGAAGGTAGGATTTTAGTCCAAGCTTCAACTTCGGCAGTGAAAATACCATGGAACCTTCCTTCAAACAAGTCAATGACTATCCTAAGAGCAAACTGTAAAGGATAAGAAGCATCCATTGGTAATCAGGGGGCCTTAAAGGGGCCTAGACCAATTTTTATTCAACCCACTTGAAGTGGAACCGTGTCAGCCTTCACTTCTTTGTTGGCAAAGAGAGGAAACTTCTTCCATGAGAAGTTTTCTAGAAAAGATTTGGCTATATGCATAAGGAAACCGTAATGACAAAATTAAAGCTTTTTATCAGTCAGCTATAGAAAAGCAGAGGTAGAAAAGGACATTCAGTATGGCAAAATGGCTTAAAGTCCAGATAGCAAATACACCCACAGTTGGTTTAAGGATTAAAGGAGTTAAGATACTCAAGGGCATAGTGCTGGCTCGTGTTAGCTGTTCTTATTCCTAGTATCCCTTTTGTACTGGTTTCCTATGGCTGCTGTGATCATTACAAGCTGTGGTTTAAAACAACACAAATTTATTATCTTAAAGTTCTTCAGGTCAGAACTGTTCTAAGATAAACTGAGGCATTTATTTTAAAGTTCAGAGTTTATTTGAGCAAACCCTGAGTTGAGTCAGGCAACGCCCACCCGGAAGTGTTTGGGGGCACCCCATCACCAGGAACTAGGAGACAGACTATCACGGAGAAGAGGTGGAACAAAGCCAAACAGTGACTTGATTGGCTACAGCTTAAACTTGCCTTAGGCGGGAAAACCTCATCAGTTTTTGAGATTGGCCATCCTTAGGTTTCAATTTCTTAATCGAGGTATTTACATGTTTAGGTTTGGGTGTGCTTAAGTAGGTTGCTGAGATATTAAAGCCACCTTGGTCTAATGGCCACCTTGTTTAATTCATTTAACGGAAGTTCACAAGGGGTTTTTCCACTCCTTAGAGCCATACCTTCAGAAAAAGCCTTTGCCTTGTGGGGTTTATGTATTCACATTGTGTTTCAAACCCTTTAGTCTCTGCAGAAGAACTCCCTGAAAAACAGAGTTACATTAACATTCAGAAAATGAAAAAAAAAAAACCAACAGTCCTAGTCAGAATATTGCAAGCTCGCCAGTTCACAGAAGATGTGTCTGGCACAGCCCTCCTGAGTGCTACATGCCACTTGGTTTGAATCCTGGTTTTGTTATCTACTCACCATGTAAAACCTTAGGTGAGCTGCTTAGCCTCTCTATCAGCTGCCTGATCCATGAAACAAAGATGGTATTACATTTGTTGGCTGCATTCTTGCTGGAAAGTATGCAGAATGGTTTGTGCTGGAACATTCTTGGTGGGTTAATCCACCTCCGCAGCTGGACCACCTCAAGAAGACTAAGAGATATGAAGGCTTAAGAAATTGCCACATTATTGACTTTTTCTCTCTTTGGCATCTTGTCATTCCTTAATTTTGGCTTTCTCTTCTATTATTGGTTTATGACCTGTAAGCTCTGAAGCTACCATTAACAACTTTATATTGCATATCATATATTATATTAAATATCACAATAAATATTACACATGTTATTAATGCCATGTCAAGTGCACAGAATTTATTACAAAACTGTACACAGAGGCTGACCAAGGAAGAAAGAAAAAATCCGAACAGACTAATTACCAGCAACAAAATTGAACTCATAATCAAAAAACTACCTAAGAACAAAATCCCTGGACCAGATGGCTTCACAGCTGAATTTTATCAAACATTTATTGAAGACCTAATACCCATTCTCCTTAAAGTTTTCCAAAGACTAGAAGAAGAAGGAATACTTACAAACTCATTCCATCATGCCAGCGTCATTGTAATACCAAAACCAGGCAAAGACACCACAAAAAAAGAAAACTACAGACCAATATCCCTAATGAACATAGATGCAAAAACACTCAACAAATATTAGCAAACTGAGTTCAAAAATACATCAAAAAGATCATCCATCAGGATCAAGTAGGATTTATTCCAGGGATGCAAGGATGGTACAACATTTGAAAATCCATCAACATCATCCAACACATCAACAAAAAGAAGGACAAAAACCACATGATCTTCTTCATAGATGCTGAAAAAGCATTTGACAAAATTCAACATCCATTCCTGATAAAAACTCTCAACAAAATGGGTTTAGAGGGCAAGTAACTCAACATAATAAAGGCCATATATGACAAACCCACAGCCAACATCATACTTAACAGAGAGAAACTGAAAGCTTTTCCTTTAAGATTGGGAACGAGACAAGGATATCCACTTTCCCCACTTCTATTCAACGTAGTACTGGAGGTCCTAGCCATGGCAATCAGACAACGCAAAGAAAAAAAGGCATCCAGATTGGCAAGGAAGAAGTCAAGCTGTCCCTGTTTGCAGATGACATGACATTGTACATAAAAAACCCTAAAGAATCCACCCCTAAACTACTAGATCTAATATCTGAATTCAGCAAAGTTGCAGGATACAAAATTATTACGCAGAAATTGTGGCATTTCTATGCACTAACAATGAACTAGCAGAAAGAGAAATCAGGAAAACAATTCCATTCACAGTTGTATCAAAAAGAATAAAATACCTAGGAATAAACCTAACCAAGGAAGTGAAAGACCTATACGCTGAAAACTACAAGACACTCTTAAGACAAATTAAAGAAGATACCAATAAATGGAAACACATCCTGTGCTCATAGATAGGAGGAATTAATATTGTCAAAATGGCCATCCTGCCTAAAGCAATCTATAGATTCAATGCAATTCCTATCAAAATACCAACAGTATTCTTCAGTGAAGTAGAGAAAATTGTTCTAAAATTCATATGGAACCACAAAAGACCTCGAATAGCCAAAGCAATTCTGAGAAGGAAGAATAAAGCTGGAGGGATTATGCTCCCCAACTTCAAGCTCTACTACAAAGACACAGTAATCAAGACAATTCAGTACTGGCACAAGAACAGAGCCACAGACCAGTGGAACAGACTAAAGAGCCCTGATATAAACCCAACCATATATAGTCAATTAATATATGATAAAGGAGCCATGGACATACAATGGGGAAATGACAGCCTCCTCAATAGCTGACAAAACTGGACAGCTACATGCAAGAGAATGAAACTGGATTATTGTTTAAACCCAAACACAAAAGTAAACTTGAAATGGATCAGAGACCTGAATGTAAGTCATGAAACCATAAAACTCTTAAAAGACAACATAGGCAAACATCTCCTGAATATAAGCATGAGCAACTTCTTCCTGAATGCATCTCCTCGAGCAAGGGAAACAAAAGCAAAAATGACCTCAAGGGACTACATCAAACTAAAAAGTTTCTGTACAGCAAAGGACACCATCAACACAACAAAAAGGCATCCTACAGTATAGAATATATTTGTAAATGACATATCTGACAAGGGGTTAACATCCAAAATATATAGAGAACTTACACATCTCAACACCCAAAAGGCAAATAATCCGATTAAAAAATCGGCAGAGGATATGAACAGACAGTTCTCCAAAGAAGAAATTCAGATGGCCAACAGACACATGAAAAGATGCTCCACATCACTAATCATCAGGGGAATGCAAATTAAAACCACAATGAGATATCACCTCACACCAGTAAGGATGGCCAGCATCGGAAAGACTAAGAACAGCCAATGCTGGTGAGGATGCAGAGAATGGGGAACCCTCCTACACTGCTGGTGGGAATGTAAGGTAGTTCAACCATTGTGGAAAGCACTATGGAGGTTCCTCAAAAACTAAAAATAGAAATACCGTTTGACCCGGGAATCCCACTCCTTGGAATTTACCCAAAGTATACAACTTCTCAGATTCAAAAAGACATATGCTCCCCTATGTTTATCACAGCACTTTTTACAATAGCCAAGATATGGAAGCAACCTAAGTGTCCATCAGTAGATGAATGGATAAAGAAGAGGTGGTACATATACACAATGGAATACTATTCGGCAGTAAGAAAGAGACAGATTCTACCATTTGCAAACACATGGTAGGAGCTGGAGGACATTAAGGTCAGTGAAATAAGCCAGGCAGAGAAAGACAAATGCCAAATGATTTCCCTCATTTGTGGAGTATAACAATGAAGCAAAATTGAAGGAACAAAATACCAGCAGACTGAGAGACTCCAAGAATGAACTAGTGGTTACCAAAGAGGAGGTGTGTGGGAGGGCCGGTGGGGAGGGAGGAAGAAGGGGATTGAGGGGTATTATGTTTAGTACACATGGTGTGGGGGATCACGTGGAGAACAGTGTAGCACAGAGAAGGCACATAGTGGATCTGTGACATCTTACTACACTGATTGACAGTGACTGCATTGGAGTATGGGTGGAGACTTGTGAAAACTTCATAAGAGTGTATATCAATCATACCTTAATAAAAAAGAAAAGAAAAGAAAAGAAAAAACTGTACACAGACAGATTTTATTCACAGTGTGGTTGAATCAACTTATTGGTGCTGTTAGCAATTTGGCAATACCAGTATTATTCAGTGACAACCAAGAGATATAAAGTCAATGCCACATTACCTGACCAGACTCTTCCTGACTTCTAATCCTAAGTGATTTGTACAGTGAGAGAATAAATTATTCTCAGAGAAGATGAAAAATCTTACTGCTTACTGTACTTTCAAGGAAGCAAAAAGTCTTGGACTATTTTTCCAAAAAGTTGGTCTTGGTCTTGACCAAATAGTTTGGGACTAAATTTTGTAAAAATTTACTCTCCCAAAAATTTTAAAAATTTTTTAGGATTTATGTGGGGAAGAGAACAACACAGGACACTTTGCTGAATGAATCCCCTTCCCACCTCTTCTCAAGTTGCTGTTTTCATGGAAATCTGTAAACCTGACTAAGTGCTAAAACTTGCTCCTGGGAAACCAGGGTGGCAGAAGGTGGCAGAAGATGAAGAGCAGGTGGATGGCATGGTACACACAGAGTGCTTAGAGCACAGTGGTGGAAAGGCAAAGCGAAGGAGAAACAGTGGGGCCAATGGTCCTAAGACTGCCAAGGGAAGCTCCAGAAGGCTTGTGAATTAGAGGGCTCCACTCCCTCATGGGGCTGAGCTGCCAAAGGAGCTCAATCCTTTCTTTACTGCAGTTACTTCCAGCTAGATATTTGCCTGGAATCAACTTAGTAAATTGAAAAGGGAAATGTGCATGTTGACTACAGCATGTGCAGGTTTTGGGGGACGTAGGTGTGTTGTGCACAGGCTAAGACATAGCTGCCTTTCCTGAAAAGAGAGGGGTCTTTACAGCTTTCCCAGTATACACTGCAGTAGGTGTTCTTTTGACAGCCTGCCCCATTGATGAAGCAAATAAATCAAAAGGCCTGCTGTAAGCAAACCCATAGTACAATTCCGTATTAGCAAAAGAACCCAACGCATTCAAGGTTGGCCTAAAATAGAACACCCCAGTAACGTGATCAGCATGGAAAAAAGACTGCATCAGAGAAGGGAGCACAGAGAGAAAAAGACACCTCTGGCTGGCAGCCCTGCAGAGACTTCCAGGAATAAGCAGGCAGCAGGCTCAGAAGTGCTGCCTGATACCTGGCATGGGAGCTCTCTCCCAGGCTTCCTGTGGCTCTCTCCTGCATTTTTGTATCCTTAAAAACAGACTCTTTGTAGCACAAGTTTCTGAAGAGAAGTTGGATATAATCTCTTTAATTAATATGGGGACTTGAGTTGCCATCTGTAGAATGTGAACTCAAAGAATAATTGGCATCTGGAGGAAGCAATGGGGGTGGGGGAGTAAGGCCAGCAGCGGTGCCCATAGTTGCTTGTCCACTAGGATGCTGAGTTGGCTTTTATTCTTTTGTTTGTCTTTAGTGGTCATGAATGAGGCTATAATTTATACTGATCTTCTGGGTTATTATTAAAAATTTTTTTTATTTGCCTATTTTCCCCTGTATTCTTAATAATATATATGTATACTCTGCCTTGGGTACACAATTATTTTGCTAGGCTTCATCAAAGACATTAATATTCCTCTGAAAGAGAGAAGGACCACCATTT